CATGAAAGACACTCTAAAACATTTGTTAAAACATTTTCTGAATGTTTCATTAATGATTCAAAATGTTCTTTGAACAACAGAGTAAAATGTTTTCTTTGGAACATTATTAGAATGTTTAAGCATTCAGAGGACGTTGTCAGATTATGTCCCGTCATAACAAAAGAAGAACCAACAAGACGTTCTCGAGGCCTCAAAAGGTAGAATGCGTTTTTAAAATGTTCCTGTAACGTGACAAAGCTAGAACTATTTGTCGTAACATTCTGAGGACGTTTGGGGAACATTGTTGTCTAGAACGCTCTTCTGTATAACGTTCTCACAGTGTTGCATGATAACAAAGGAAAGACGTTCTCAGTGCAACATTTGGACAATGTTTTTAACAAATGTTGCCTTTAAGGGGAACATTCTGGGAACTAAAATATAAGTTCCCACTAAATAAAGATTGCCAGAACTTTGCGGAACTTTCTCAGAACGTTTTTAGAACAATGATCAACCTGGCCGGGCTGCTGGTGTTTGTAGGCGTGTGCTCTTTGATCCGTCGTCCAGCTGGGGGCCGACGCCACCACAAAGGCCCGTCCAGATGTCGTGTCCAGCTGTGGCTCTGTTCAGGTGTCAGCAGACCGAAGCAGCAGGTTCAGACTCGGCTTCGCCTCCCTGCTGCTTCTAAAAACCACCGTGTGTGTGTGTGTGTGTTTGAGCGTTTCTTGGAATCCGATTGGCTCGTAGGATCGGCTTCATTCAGCTCTTCCCGTCTTTGACACTCGGAGCCCACGAGGGGAACGTTTGTGAGTGTGTTCGCGGCGGCTGCGGCCCTTATATGGTCATGTAGTTTCGCCTCAGAATGAATCAGAGTGCTGTTACATCAGAGGTACCGGCAGGCGGGATGGATCACTGGGCCTCCTATTGGAACGCACACACACTTCCGTTTGAGCGTAGAGGAATGACGGAAACACACACACACACACACTCGGATGCCCTACTTTTCCTGCAACGCCGAGATGCGAGGACTGTTATGCAGCAGGGGATGCAGAGGTTTGAATGAGTGACGAGAGGAGGCCACTCCCAGGTACTACGGTGCCCCCGACGCTTTACTACGCAGGAACGAGTCAGGAGCTCTGATTAATAAGGAGTCGTTGGTTCCTGGATCTGTCGGTGCACCCACTAATAAAGTGACACATTACACTGATTAGTACCCACACTGCTTCTAAAAAAGATCTGTGAAAGCCAAGTTCTAGCAGTGAGGGTGCCCAAAGAAATACTTTAAAACAGGAAAACTGTGTAATATTGTAATGTTTAAGAACTGGGAAGATAACAGCATATATCTATGAT